GCACGCAGGCACGCAGGCACGCAGGCACGCAGACACGCAGGCACGCAGGCACGCAGGCACGCAGGCACGCAGGCACGCAGGCACGCAGGCAGGCAGGCAGGCAGGCAGGCAGGCAGGCACCCACACACACACATACACACACGCGAAGACAGAAGGACACAAACACAAAGAAACAAACACAACCACAAGCAGGCAAACACACACACAAGCATAAAGACACAACGACGCAAACACACAACACACAACACACAAACACACAAACACACAAACCGACAAACACGCAAACTCACAAACTCGCAAATTTAAAAGAGACAAACGCACAAACACACAAACACACAAAACATACACAGACATACCCATGTACGGACGCACACACGCTCATACACACCCGCACACACACACACAACCCAAATGTGTTGTTTGCGTGGAGGCCTTTGCACACAAGTGTTCACATCACAGGATGGATGTTGTTCAGGGTTGTATCTGCCTTGATTTTGCTTTGGAACCATGAATTGGCGAGGCATGGCACGACAATCGCCGCATGATTGAACAGACGCAGCAGGGCGACTGAATAGACTCAATGGCACTAGTAGCGGTTTGGTGGGACACCCTCAAGAATGGTTGGCAGAACCCCTTGGCCCACCGAAGAGTTGCAAGTCAGACCCATTTAGCAGCTGTCGACTGAGATCCTGGCTTCAGCGGTCGCTGGCTCTCAGGCGGGCGGAGGGAACTGTGGGCCCGTGCTACGCTTTTCCTCGCGCAGGTGGTGTGCTTGCCCGGGATCTTCCAGGCTCCGAGACTGGAAGTCACGGGAAGGAGGAAGACATAATTAGGAAGACTTGATCATGGGTTTTGGTTTAGCGGATTCCGTTTGGGTTGCAGCCCCTTTCAAAAGAAAGCTTGAGGTGAGTTGGGCAGCAAAGAATCCAGGTGGCTTCTTTCGTTTTTGGATCGCAGCTGCGTAGGTGCACAAATTCCATGAAGCGTTGGTTTCGCAGCCGGAGCCCAACTGGTATTCTGCCGCCCGGCCCTCAGCGCTTGGCGGGAGACTTGCGTCCTTTTCTCCCTGTGTTGTTGGGGGAATCAGCTGGTTTTCCAAACTTATAGTCAGGTACTCCTTGGCTGGTGGTTTGGATTGGTGGGTTGGGGATTTGAGACCACCACGAAGCCACCAATTTAGGGGGAAGCTGAACTATAAAACAATGGAACTTGTAAAATGGCGTCCAGCTTCCCAGCACCGCCGAGCCGTCTTGAGCTGCAATAAGCGGTGAGCCGTGCTAAGGTGCCGACGATGCACTTGCAGATCTTGCAGTTTGCGGAGGAGGTTGCGAAAGAGAAGGCGCGGCTATTTTGTTTCAACCTGGCGCTGTCAACGCCATGATATCTGAGTTGGACCTCAATTGAAACGCGGTGTTTAGGTATCACTGTTTTGAGGAAGCCCACAGCAAAGTGTGTTGCAGCCTCAAACCACAAATGTCCTCAGATTCGCCTCAGGGCAAGCCGCCGGAGAACAAGCTGGAGCTCATCCGAAACTGCTGGGAGCTCGCCCACATGGCTAGCTACAAATAGAACTCGAATGGTTGATGCGTCTCCCAAGCAGCTGAAAGCTAGGGGGTAGGGTTCCGAGGAGGGTGCCGGGGATGCAGGCGGTTAGATAGGAGGGTTCCGGTTAGGAGGGTTCCGGGAATGCGCAAGGCGGTGCCGACTTCTGGGGTGCGCAAATGTACCTCATGCTGGTGGGGATATCACCTGAGCTTATTCTTGGCTTCCTTTAAGAGAAACTCAGACGGATTTCATTTGCTTCGTCGCTTGGAACTTGCTGGGCCCCACGATTTGTCTATGTCCAGGGGCTCTCAAAGTCAGACACTTGACACTGGTAATCACTAGGGGCCAGTAGAATTATGACCTACCGTGTCAGCCTAACTGGCCTTTTCCTGTTGGTGTTTCTGGTTCCAGTACGTTTCTTTTACGATTCACGCTTGCAATTTCAATATTTATGTTCATCGTTAAGCCCCCCCTCCTCCGTAACACATCTCCCACCTGAAGGAAGGGGGTGCCGAACGTTGTTGAAAGAAATATAAGCACGTAAATGTTGAGCAAAACATGATGTTTTTATGAGTTCGGCTAAGTGTACGTTTCCGCACCCCCCTCGATTTAATTTGTTTAAACAATTCTTCGCTTTCTTTTACTTGTTTATGACTTCCCGGGACTCACCAGTTTCCTCTTTCGAGAACCCCCCCCAAGATGGTACGCCTTCAGCAAAAGGTGTAGCATCGTAAATCCGGCACGAGCGTCTGATCACTGAGCAACTCGTCAGGACTGCCGGCCGGGTTAAAATATTGCCTTTGTAAGGGAACTTATTCTTGGATCTGTCTACTGTTGTGACCTACGGTGTAGGCGAAGCCAAGAAGCCAAGGGAAGCCTTTTACTCTCATTTCTGCTCGACCCCTTGTAAGAAGAGCATCAAAAGCTCAACTATGGAACAGATTCCCATTGGCCACACGCTAGGTCCGTCAGGTGGAGCATCAATGCACAGGACACTTGCTCCTGAGCTTACCACTTGTTTTGTTTGACCAAATGCACCCAGCGAAGAGTCAACTTCCACAACAACGACAGCCTGGACAGCCCAATCTATTTGTGCTGCTTAGAGCATTTGCGCACATATAGTTATATGCTTATGCAAGTGCTGACTGTGACACACCCCGTATCACGCAGGCGATGCCAAAAAATGGCTCCATTCCATGTGTCAAGCGACGCTGGGATTGCAGAACACCGGATGTGGGTTTCCATTCAGTTGACAATTGTTTACTGTTGTGTCCCACCCCCTTTAACAGCGCCGTTGGTTTTGGGTCGCCCCTGGCGACTTTTATTGTAATAGTGGGAACCCTAGTTTTCTGACTTGTCTGACCCCAACCTCAGTTTTGACCACAAACCTACAGGTAGCGCGTCGAACACAGCTTCGTGCATTAGGAAACAAAGGTCTCGTGACGCGCGTCCGAGGCTCTGCGGCCCTGCTCCCGACTGTTGCGTGTGCCATGGAGGAAGTGCTCAAGGCGAGGATCAAGACATGAAATGGACGGGGCGTTCACATTGCCAAGCTTTGTGTTTGTTGTGTGGCGGGTACCCCACTAAGAATGGTCATGCTCAGAAAGGTTCTTTCTCATTTTCTACCAGTGTCACTGAACAGCTTGGAAACTGAACTCCCTCCAAGAGGAACGGCAAACAATAGATTGGAGTGTCATTCAGCTCAAGACATCGCAATCGGAGCAGCTCTTATTTGAGACGAGAGTGGCTTGCATGTGCAGCGGGTTCCGTGCAGGTTTCTGTCATGCCAACGTACGCGATGACGGAGTTGGGATCCTACCTACACGTTTGCGCAACTGCCCTTTAGAGGTCACTGTTTACTCCGCTTTGAGTCTGTAGTGTCGTAGCTGGTCAGGGGTGTTTAATTACTGGAACCAACCCCAAGTGGCTCGACTTGGCTTCGCGTGAAAGCTAGGACGTTTCAACGGACTTGCTCAGGTCTTGGCACTCTTTTGGTTCGTGCTGAAACAGGCCAAGGAAAATAGCCAGCCATCCCAGTTTGACATCCTGTTAAAAGCAACCTCAAAAGGTCGACCAAGCCCTTTTTGAGAATCCAAAACAGTCTTAGGCCATGCGCAGGAAGTGGTCTATAGCTATTTTGTGATCGACTCAGGTCTATGCCGATCGCTTCCAATCCCCGGTACGGCAAGCGCAAGCTGCGCTCTGTGGGCATGCAGGCGAGTAATGGGGGGGAGGGGGGGTGGCAGGACTTTTTGGCCACACTTCAGATTTTCGTTCCTGGGGCTTGACGGAGATGCGTACATGGGGAGGTTGTACTTGGCAGCGTTGGGATGCAGAAGTTCTTTCAGCCTTTTAGTGGTGGCAAATGACCTTATCAAGCCGCGTTTGTTCAAGATGATGTAAGAAAGGTGCAGTTGTCCCGTGGTGGAACTGTACTGCCTTGGATAATGAACTGAGCCAGCATTGGCAACTGTAACACTTGATAATGAAGATTTGCTATTTGCAGGGTGAAGAGGGCTGTTTGTTTGTGATAGGGGGTAAAAGGTGAGGTGTTTTGTGATCGACAGATGTATTGGTTTGGTGTCAGCATAAAGCGTGAAGCAACAATATGGAAGCAGCGCACAATCTGATCAGGGTACCGTATCAGTTGTGGTGATTCTCAGTTTATTGCGGGAGTCTTGTCAGCTGCTCATAGGCACATGATACATGGTTCATATGTATGTATACACTAACACATACACATGCGCAACAAAGTATGCTCCAGTACGACAATGCCCAGGTCCAAGTATGTTGCTCAACTAGTGCCGCCCAACTGACACAGACAGGTGGCACAGTACCCCCTCATCAGAATATATCAGAAGCATCCAGTAGGTTCGGCTTCATTTATCCTGTGCTGGCGGGGTCTCTATATTATGTGCTTGTCTTGCGAAACCATCCTGTCAGCGTCCATGATTGTTGATAAACAGGCTATGCACATTCAGCTGTGGTTCCTGTCTGCTTGTTCTGAGTAGGGACTGTCGGAATGACGCCAAGTGGATATGCCGAAATGGGCGGCGGGGAGAAGGCCCCACGTGGGACTGCGTCAAAGCTAGGACCCGCTTTCCTCAAAAAACAGCAGCGATATCTTTGTTCGTGTCCCTCGATTCCTTTTACAATTTCAGCGCCTCCGGCTCAGGCCGCCGACATTACAGGCCTGCTTTCTTATTTGCGTCCTTTTGGAATTGTCCCCTTGCCCCCCTTCCCCTCTAAGATCTTTGCCCCCCTTTCCCTGTTGAGATCCCCCCCAAGGCCTTTTTTCCCCCGGAGATCTTCTCCCTTTTCCTCCCTAAGATCTTTTCCCACCTTTCCCTATTGAGATCCTTTCCCCCCTGTCCCCCCTAAGGCCTTTTCCCACCCTGAGATCTTCTCCCTTCTCCTCCCGAAGGTCTTTCCCCCCCTTTTGAGATCCTTTCCCCCCATTCCCCCCTAGAGCCTTTTCCCCCCGAGAAAGATTTCCTTTTTCCTTCCAAAGATCTTTTCCCCCCTTTCCCCCCTAAGGCCTTTTTTCCCCAGATCTTCTCCCTTTCCTCCCTAGATCTTTCCCCCCCTTTCCCTGTTCAGACCCTTTCCCCCCTTTCCCCCCTAAGGCATGTCCCCCCGCTGAGATCTTCCCCCTTTTTGCTCCCTAAGATCCTTTGCCCCCTTTCCCTGTGGAGATCCTTTCCCGCCTTCCCCCTAAGGCCTTTCCAGATCTTCTCCTGGGGGGAAAAAAGGCCAACAGCAGGGAAAGGGGGGAAAAGATCTTAGGGAGGAAAAGGGAGAAGCTCTCAGGGGGGGAAAGGCCTTAAGGGGGAAAGGGTGGCAAGGATCTCAACAGGGAAAGGGGGGAAAAGATCTTAGGGAGGACAATTTCTCCCCTTCCCCCCTAAGGCCTTTTCCCCCCGAGATCTTCCCTTTCCTCCCTAAGACCGTTCCCCTCCTTTCCCTGTTGAGATTCTTTCCCAGGTCTTCTCCCTTTTCCTCCCTAAGATCTTTTGCCACCTTTCCCTCTTGAGATCCTTTCCCCCATCTTTACCCCCCTTTCCCTGTTGAGATCTTTTTCCCCCCTTTCCCCCCTAAGGCCTTTTCCCCCCAAAATCTTCTTTCTTTTCCTCCCTAAGATGTTTCCCCGTTGAGATCCTTTCCCCCCTTTCCCGCCTAATCCCTTTTCCTCCCCAACATCTTTTCCCCCGGTTGAGATCCTTTCCCCCTTTCCCCCCGAGATCTTCTCCCTTTTCCTCCCTGGATCTTTTCTCCCTTTCCCTGTTGAGATCCTTCCCCCAAAAATACATAAAATGGCACTTCTAACATCAAAACCAAATAATCAAACAGCATACAACAAAATCGGCAAAATTCACAGAAAACAAGATAAGAACCACCAAGCAACTCAAAAACCAGAACAACCCCCAACAAAATATTTAATCAAAGCATACAACATTAAGTAATTCAAACAAGCATACCAACAAAACAGCAAAAATAAAAACCATCAAAGAACCCAATCTCAAAAACACACAAAATCAAAAACAAAGCAACATACCAACAAAAAATATCAGAAGAGTATCAAACAAAATAAAATACAAACAGCCAAAGCACGAAAAAATCAAAAGAGCATGCCAAGTTCAAACAACGCACTTTGAAAGAGTCAGCCAAATCAAGAAAAATTAAAATATTTCAATCTTTACAAACTATAAGTACAGTATAATTATAACATATAAGATTTTACATGTTATTATTATAGTATGATTATAATTTCAGTACAGGATAATAATTTAATTGACAAATCTTTCTTCTTTCATACATCATTTTAAAAATAATATTAATATCTCTCAATGTATTTTGAATATTAAACTTTTTACTTTCAATAAATAATTTGATATTTTCTTTAACATCTTCCCCTTTCTCTTGACTATATCCCAACATCCATAATATATCATAATCATTTCATATTTTTTCTTACTGATTTTAAGAAACTGTTTAACATAATCATAAGGTGGTATTTTATTTACAGTTAGAAATATTAAAATCTCATCTTCTACATTTCTATTATGTCTTCCTTTTATTCTCAACAGACATTTGATTAAAAAATGATTATCTCTCCATTCCTGGCAATTTTCACATTCGACTTTTTCATCCATTGAATAATTAATAATATTATTCACTATTTCATTAGGTAAATTTAATTTATACAATTCCATATTTTCTTTTTTGAAATGACAACAATCATAGCATTTTTTATTGATATAATTATTGATTTTAGCACCGTTCATTTTCCTCTTATTATATTAAGGCACTATTTCTTTAAGTCATTTTTAAGGCATTAATAAAAATTAAGAAACAAACCATAAGTTTAGTATAATTATAACATAAACTATTTTACATGTTATAATTATAGTATGAAACAAGTATAACTACATGCCCTATGTGTCAAACACACATACCATATGTGTCAAACACACATACCATATGTGTCAAACACACATACCATATGTGTCAAACACACATGCCCTATGTGTCAAACACACATGCCCTATGTGTCAAACACACATGCCCTATGTGTCAAACACACATGCCCTATGTGTCAAACACACATGCCCTATGTGTCAAACACACATGCCCTATGTGTCAAACACACATGCCCTATGTGTCAAACACACATGCCCTATGTGTCAAACACTCATTAAAATTTCACTGATAAGATTTTCGGGTATTCTATATAAATCACTCTGTGAATGAATGATGGGGCTTTCCCCCCAGTCGGCTTTGCTTTTTTGTGGCAGTCTCTGCGCAGTTTCAATATGTTTATTATTCCTGATGTTGCCACAATCTTTTTTACATAAATCTCTAGGTTTCCAAGTTGTAATGTTATTCCAAAGCCTAGTTCTCTTTCTGTAAGGCATTCCATATTTACAATAATCTACATCTTTAAATTCAAACTCATCCATAAACTCCTGATTTTTTAATAATCCAGTTTGGGGATTTTCGATTACAAAATACTTAGGATTAAAATATTTGATAATTTCAATAGTTTTTAAAACTATACTATTAGCATATTCAATGTTTCTTATTCCCCTAGTTTTTGCTACACTATATTCAGTGCATGGGGGACTACTCCAAATAAAATCAAAATGGTTCCTGTCAAATTGCTTATAATCCCATTTCAAAATATCAGTATTTATATCAGCATTTTTCAAATCCAATGAAATAACATTGAAACCGAGCGACTTTGCAACAAGTCCAACACTGCCTGTTCCGCTAAACATCTCTAATAAGTTCATTATTAAAGATATTTAGATAATATTATCTATGAATAAAAATCCATGTTTCCTCGTCAAAAACTAAACTATGTTTAGTTTTCAATGAGTAAATACAACTTTATGCATAAACCCCCGTATCTTCATCATAGTCAATTTGATAAAATGTCATAGTTGAAGCCTTCGGTTCTTTAATTTCTTTGTTATTAAGTTTGTTTAAATAAATATTTCTTTTATTTTTATATTCACCATTGGTTCTATCTACTTCCTGACTTTTATAACTGTTTGTTATCGGTTTCTTCTTTTCCATTTCTTGTAAGATTTCCAAAATATTCTTATTCTGTTCTAAAACCTTGTTCAGTTTTTTAACAATCTTTTCTAATCCTTCATCCATGTAAATATATATATTATATTATAAAATAAAACTTTTAAAACTAAATGTTTAAATTATGTTAAACCTACTCTTTAAATACTAATTTTTCATCATTTGTTTAACAGTTTCCTGAGTTTCCTTATCGCCATTATCGGATGGCGATGCATGTCTCCCCCATTTGATAGCAATATTATGAACATCTGTTTCTAAGTTTATACTGTCTTTAGTTTTATCAATATTCATTTTCTTATCATTCTTACTTATTTTGAAACTTGTCGGAATACACGAACATTTACAAGTTTCCTTTCTTTTGTATTTCTAATTCATTTTTCATTTCTAACATCTTTTTACACATTGGACAAGCAAACTCAATAACTGATGTCTCTTTAACAACTTCTTCTTTTTCTTCATCAGTTGAAGAAACAACTGGTTCAGTCTTATTCTTTTTCTTTCTCCCCATCTATATTAATATTTATATTTTTAATATATTGTATCACAAACTTAATTAATTCTAAAATAAAATAGCATACTTTCTTAAATCTATTATCAGTTAGAACAACTTGTTCTATATTCT